AAAAAAAAAAAAGTTAGGTAAATCTGGTCCTTGTCCTTGTTACCTTATTACTCCTTGGCTACAGTTTAAAGAGAGAAGATGATGATGATGATGATGATAGTAAAATGCTGAGAAGCTATAATTAAGTAATATCACATGAATAACATCATTGCTACCATTTCATGTTTTGTTTTGTTTTCTCTGAATTTTCAAGAAACCAGCATCAAAAGGAAAGCACAGAAGGGTAGATTTATTTTATAAAACAAATAATCACTTTCCAGTAAAGCAAAGAAACACTCTTTATTCTACATTTTAAGTCAGATTTCTCACTTGGGACATGATGCAGGGAGCAGTGTGAGTGTTTGACGTCTCTCTCCATTGTGACAGCAGGGGCAGCTGGCGGGAGCGATGCTGAGGTGACAGCTGCTGACTGGAAGAAATGTGACTTGATTGCAAAGATTTTGTCCTCCTGTCCTCAGCAGTCTCTTTCCCCAGAGAGTTACTACAGGCTCATCTGCCCCCAGGTAAATGATCAGATTCATATTGCCAATCACTTATGTACAGAAAGAACACTTAGAATGTGACTCTAAAATTCAAGTAAGAGCACTACAAAGTTTATATTTGTTCAGGTAGGAAGCTCCTTAAATAATAACTTTTGGAGAACATCAACATAATTGTTAGGTCTAAGAATACCTCACCAGTGGTTGAGACAGAGTTCAGAGGTGGAGCACTTAACTAGTGTGCAAGAAGCTCTGGGTCTCATCCCCACCATGACAAAGTAATAGTAAAGCCCCGATTAATAAGTGAACATTCCAGCTTGCTCTCAGAGCCAGAACAGAAGTTTTATCTTGTTGATTATCTCTTCCTCCTCTGTGCTTTTTGTTGCATTTTTTTGTTTTGTTTTTTGTTTTTGTCAGACATGGGACTTGAACTCAGGGCATGGGCACTATCCCTGAGTTTTTTTTTTGCTCAAGGCTAGTGCTCTACCACTTTGAATCAGAGCGCACTTCTGTTTTTCTGGTAGTTAATTGGAGTTAAGAGTCACATGGACGGGCTGGGAAGGTGGCTCAGTGGTAGAGCACTTGCCTTGCATGCATGAGGCCCTGGGATCCATTCATCAGCACCACATAAGCAGGAAAAAAAGAGCCGGAAGTGGTGCTGTGGCTCAAGTGGTAGAGCACTAGCCTTGAGCTGAAGAGCTGAGGGACAGCGCCCAGGCCCAGAGTTCAGGCCTCACGACTGGACAAAAAAAAAAAATGTACTCATTATTTTGCCCATGTAATTGTAACCCCTCTGTACAGTATTTTCACAATTAAAAAAAAATTGTATTTCAAGAACTTAAAACCTAAAAGGCAGAGACATGAAGATTGCAAGTTCAAAGTAAGCCTGAGACACACAGTGATATTCTTTTGAAAAGGAAGGAAGGAAGGAAAGAAGAATAGAGTTAATGTTTTGCTATATTGTCTAGGCTAACTCTGAATTCCTGGTCTCAAACTGTCTTCCTGCCGGGCGCCAGTGGCTCACACCTGTAATTCTAGGTACTCGGGAGGCTGAGATCTGAGGATCATGGTTCAAAGCCAGCTTGGGTAAGGAAAGTCTGTGACACTCTTATTGCCAATAAACCACTAGAAAACCGGAAGTGGCGCTGTGGCTCAATCGGTAGAGTGCTCTCCTTGAGCTGAAGAACTGAGGGACAGTGCTCAAGCCCAGAGTTCAAGCCCCACAACTGACCAAAAAAACCCCAAAACAACAACAACAAAAAACCACAACTGTCTTCCTGCCTGAGAACTTCTGTGTAGCTAGCACATGTTACTGCACACAGCCTACATTAAATTTTTTAAATAGATGTTTATCTATTTTCCATACTTTTGCCTTAATAATGTGTTACAAATCTTTTGGTCTTTGCTAATCAGATAGGTAAAATGTGGGGGTTTTTCTCACTGTATGTTCCCTATGAAAATATATGTAATACAAGCCTTTTGGAGTACAGTCCCAAGATTGTTCCATGGTTACACTGATCTCCAGGGTTCTCATGGATGGGCATGTCTGGGAAGAATGATCACAATGCAGGTATCTTGTTTGGAAACACTAAGTTTATTATTTGCAATAATAAGTAAATATTTTCCAAAGCTTGTAACTAGTTTCTGTGCTTCAGAAAATGATATAATCAAAGCACAGGTCTCAGGCTTGCTGAGTTTTTTTTTTTTTTTTGTCGTTTGTGGGGCTTGAACTCTGGGATTGGTCACTGTCCCTGCACTCTTTAGCTCAAGGCGAGGGCTCTACCACTTGAGCCACAGCGCCACTTCCAGTTTTCTAGTGGTTTTATTGGAGATAAGAGTCTCAAGGACTTTCTTGCCTAGGATGGCTTTGAACCACAATCCTCAGATCTCAGCCTCCTGAGTAGCTAGGATTACAGGCATGAGCCACTGGAGCCCAGCTTGAGCCTTTCTTTAGTGATGCCAAACACTGTTATCAGGAAGAATATTCTTTTGTCTGCAAAAAGCAGACAAGTCACTTTTTCCTAACTAATGCTTCAGGAAATTTCACCTCATCCTTGTGCAAGAATCACCTTCAAGTCAGCAATCAGAAGTGATAATAGAGTAATACATATCACTGAGAAGAAGAACATGAAAAAAACTATTATGGATTGGGGATGTAGTTCAAGTGTTAGAATGCTTGCCTAAGAAACTTGAAGCCCTGTGTTCAAGCCCCAGTATTTTCTCCCCCCCCCCCAAAAAAAATACCCCAACAACTCTTGACTAACTCCGGCTACACAGGAGACAAAGATTTAGATCCAGCCTGAAGGGGGAAAAGTTTCAAGGCCCTTCTCAGACAAGTGAGACAAGCCTGTAGTATCTAGGATTACAGAGAATTGTGGTCTGAGGCCATCCCTGAGCAAAAGCTTAAGACCATATTTGAAAAATAAACTATATTGCCTAGGCTAGCCTGAAATCCTGGATTTAACCCATCTTCCTGCCTCTGCCTTCCATAAATGGGACTGTGGGTACAAGCCACTGTGTCAGCTTGAATATAATTTTTTTTTGAAGAACTTAGAACTGTATGAGAAAGTTTCAGCAATACACAAAACTGAGTGTTAGCTGGAAATGGTGGTACTCCTGTAATCCTAGGACTGGGCTGGCTGAGGCAGGACAATTGTGAGTTACAAACAAAACACATCCCCTTCAACTGAGTATTAAGTGTGCTCTCGAAAGGAAAACATGAAATAGACAGAAAAAAATTGTAAAAAATATTCCAAAAATATTTATAGTGATTTGATTACTCTCAAAACTTGGTTTTCTCATTTTCCTACAACAAACATGCATTTTACAAATATAATTATTTGATAAAAACAATAGTCTTTTTAGCTCTTAAACTCTTTGGTCCTGACTTGTTAAACCCATTTGTTGAGCCAGTATCAGTGCTGTAACTATTTTTTTGGCTTGAAGAAATAGATGTCTTTTATTTGTAGTTGCAAAATGCCTGGTATTTGCATCATGTACTTTTTCTTGTAGATTCTGGATTTGTTTCATTTTCGAGATAAACTGACAGAGCGGCAGTTTCAGAGAGTTGCTACCACCACATTCATAACTCTGTCAAGAGAACGCCCAGAACTGGCAGCAAAGTATTTGCTTCCGCCAGTGTTAGCTGCTTTGCACCGATGCATGGATTCAGCAGGTAAAGAGGAAGGTCAGGTGGCTGCTCCAAAGGGGGGCCACCATTAGTGATTTAAATTGAAATGACCCCATGGCATTTCAGGGTCTTCATCTGTCTCCCTCCTTTCCTCCCCTCACCCCCTTCCCCAATTTTCCTTTGGAAAAAGTCACTTCCAAAAAGAGCACACAGAGCTAGTTATCTTCTTTGCCTAGATCAACTAGCTATCAGGCACATTTGCTTCCTTTCTCTCTCCACATACAAAAAGGAACTCCATTTTTTTGTTTGTTTGTTTTGTTTTTTGTTGGTCATGTGTGCTGAACTCTGGGCCTTGGTGCTGTCTCTCAGGTCTTTAGCTCAAGGCTAGCACCCTGCCACTTAAGCCACAGTGCCACTTCCAGCTTTTTTCTGCTTATGTGGTGCTGAGGAATTGAACCCAGGGCCTTATGTATGCAAGGCAAGCACTCTACCACTGATCCAACTTCCCAGCCCTGGAACTCTGTTTTTTTGCAGTAGTTGTAGACATTAGGACACTTTATACTAAGTTCTTCAGTATACATCTCCAAAGAGGAATGTCAGTCTTTTTCTTGACTCTAAGCAGGAATCACACTAGAGGAACTTAGTACTGATACAGTACTAGCACAATACTGTGGTGTCCTGCATCTTGTTTATTTATTAACTATATGCCAGCAGTCTTCGTGTGTTCGATTACCTTGGCCATGCCAGCTCCATATGTAATTTGTTGGTAACAAAAGAGACTAGATGGGAATATTAGTCATCTTACATAATCTGGTCATTCCCACTGGAGAAACAGTCTAAAGAATAAACTTTTTAATTTTACACTTATGTTGTATTGAGATAGTAAATATGTTGTGTGTGTACAGCTATTTTTGTGTATGTGTGGTAGCTTGCTGATGCTGTGAGTGTACTTGGTGGTACTTGCCTAGCATGCAAGAGCCACAGGGTATAACCTACAACACCTCAGTAAACAGATCTTTTATTTCAGACTCTTAAACAATTTCATGAATTGTGCTATCAAGCTGCATCTCACCATTGTGCTGGCTGGTAGTGAGATCACAAGTGTTTGTGCCTGCAAAGAAGTACCAGAACTTTTACAGGATAGATGTTAGTGATTGGAAAAAGACTATGAGGGCAGAAGTTGAATGGAGGACTCTTAAGATATGTAACCTGACTTGGATTGTTGGTGGTGTAATGGATAATGCAAATGGAAAAAATGTGGATATCAGTAATGGTGCTGAAATGTTTCAAAAAAGTTGGACTCTAATGTAAATTTTGAGAATTCTTTTTTTCTTTTTTTGGTCCAGTAGTGGGGCCTGAACTCTGGGCCTGGGCACTGTCCCTCAGCTCGTCAGCTCAAGGCTAGTGCTCTACCACTTGAGCCACAGCGCCACTTTCGGCTTTTTTCTTTTTGCTTATGTGGTGCTGAGGAATTGAACCCAGGGCCTCAGGCATGCAAGGCAAGTGCTCTACCACTGAGCCACCTTCCCAGCCCCGAAAATTCTTTTTTTCTATTTGTTCCCATTCTTAGCTTATAGAGAGAAAGCTAAATAACCAAAACCAAAGATCCTTCTATTTAAAAACTTATGAACTGGGCCACTGGTGGTTTATGCCTGTAATCCTAGCTATACAAGAGACTGAGATCAGAGGGTTGTTGTTTGAAGCCAGCGTGGGCAGGACAGTGCATGAGACTATCTATCTCCTATTAACCATCAGAAAACCGGAGGTGGCGCTGTAGTGTATCAAAAAGAGCTCACGGACAGCACCTAGACCCAGATTCAGACTCCATGACCGACAAAACAAAATCACTTCTGTTTTTCTTTTTGTGACAGTCTTACTGTATAGCTCAAGTTTGCCTTTTAACTTTTAATTCTCCTGCCTCAGCCTCCCCCAGTTCTGTGATTACATGTCTGTAATCATGTAATCATTTCTGTGCCTAGTTTATTTTAAAACATTTTTAAAGGGAAATTTTTGAACCCATACCTATAGACACTGCAGTATGCCTGTCACCCAGAAACAACCATCAACTCTGCCATTTTCATTTTGTTTCATTCACAGTTTGGAGTGTTTTTGTTTTTGGTTGTAGGGCTTGAACTCAGGGCCTGGGTACTATCCCTGAACCTCTTTTTGTGCTCAAGGCTAGTGCTCTACTACTGAGCCACAGAACCACTTCTGGTTTTTGAGTAGTTAATTGGAGATAAGAATCTCGTAGGGACTTTTCTGCCTGGGCTGGCTTCAAATGGAGATCCTGAGATCTTAGTCTCCTTAGTTGCTAGGATTACAGGTATGAGCCACCGCTCATTTATTCAGTAAATTTAAATTTAAATTTTTAAGTAATATAATAGATTAATTGACAATGTTTCTTCTTGCTTAATGATACATAAAATAACATTGCTCCTTTTTGTGTGTGTGTGCTGGTAAAGGTACTTGAAAATAGGACCTCATTCTCTCTCAGCTTTTTTGCTCATAGCTGGTACTCTACCACTTGAGCCACCTCTCCAGTCTAGTTCATTAATTAGAGTCTCACAGAGTTTTTGTCTGGGCTGACTTTGAACTATGATGATTCTCAGATCTCACCTGAGTAACTAGGATTATAAGTATGAGCCACTGGCACTGGCACCATGTATGATTCAGTGGCATCACAGATTCCATGAAACCTTATATATGAAGGGGGAATTGGCACTGGTGGCTCATGTCTGTAATCCTAGTACTCTTAGGAGGCTAAGATCTGAGGATTGCAGTTCAAAGCCAGCACAGGAAGGAAAAGTCTGTAAGACTCTTATCTCCAATAAACCACTCAGAAAACCAGAAGTGGCACTGTGGCTCAAGTGGTAGAGTGTTAGCCTTGAGCTGAAGAGCTTATTGACA